CCAAAAATGTCACCGGGGGGGACAGAGTGAGACAGGGCACCCCAAAATGTCACCCGGGGGGACAGAGTGACACAGGGCACCCCAAAATGTCACCGGGGGGGACAGAGTGACACAGGGCACCCCAAAATGTCACCGGGGGGTTTGGGGGGGTCCCTAAAAGGACTCCTGGAGTGGGTGGGGAGCAGCCAAGGGGTGACACAGCCATGGCCACCATAAAACAGCCATGGCCACCGTGACCCAACCATGGCCACCATGGCACAACCATGGCCACCACCACCCAACCATGGCCATCACGACCCAACCACGGCCACCATGACCCAACCATGGGGGGGGAGAAGCCAAGGGGTGACACAGCCATGGCCACCATAAAACAGCCATGGCCACCGTGACCCAACCATGGCCACCATGACACAACCATGGCCACCACCACCCAACCATGGCCACCGTGACCCAATCATCGCCCCACCCAGGGCCACCATAAACCAGCCATGGCCGCCATGACCCAACCATGGCCACCATGATCCAACCATGGCCACCGTGACCCAACCATGGCCACCATGATCCAACCATGGCCACCGTGACCCAACCATGGCCACCGTGACCCAATCATGGCCACCATGACCCAACCATGGCCACCGTGACCCATCCATGGCCACCATGACCCAACCATGGCCACCATGACACAACCATGGCCACCATGACACAATCATGGCCACCACCACCCAACCATGGCCGCCATGATCCAACCATGGTCACCATGACACAATCATGGCCACCATGACCCAACCATGGCCACCGTGACCCAACCATGGCCACCATGACACAATCATGGCCACCACCACCCAACCATGGCCGCCATGATCCAACCATGGTCACCATGACACAATCATGGCCACCATGACCCAACCATGGCCACCGTGACCCAACCATGGCCACCATGACACAATCATGGCCACCACCACCCAACCATGGCCGCCATGATCCAACCATGGTCACCATGACACAATCATGGCCACCATGACCCAACCATGGCCACCGTGACCCAACCATGGCCACCATGACACAATCATGGCCACCACCACCCAACCATGGCCGCCATGATCCAACCATGGTCACCATGACACAATCATGGCCACCATGACCCAACCATGGCCACCGTGACCCAACCATGGCCACCATGACACAATCATGGCCACCACCACCCAACCATGGCCGCCATGATCCAACCATGGTCACCATGACACAATCATGGCCACCATGACCCAACCATGGCCACCGTGACCCAACCATGGCCACCATGACACAATCATGGCCACCACCACCCAACCATGGCCGCCATGATCCAACCATGGTCACCATGACACAATCATGGCCACCATGACCCAACCATGGCCACCGTGACCCAACCATGGCCACCATGACACAATCATGGCCACCACCACCCAACCATGGCCGCCATGATCCAACCATGGTCACCATGACACAATCATGGCCACCATGACCCAACCATGGCCACCGTGACCCAACCATGGCCACCATGACACAATCATGGCCACCACCACCCAACCATGGCCGCCATGATCCAACCATGGTCACCATGACACAATCATGGCCACCATGACCCAACCATGGCCACCGTGACCCAACCATGGCCACCATGACACAATCATGGCCACCACCACCCAACCATGGCCGCCATGATCCAACCATGGTCACCATGACACAATCATGGCCACCATGACCCAACCATGGCCACCGTGACCCAACCATGGCCACCATGACACAATCATGGCCACCACCACCCAACCATGGCCGCCATGATCCAACCATGGTCACCATGACACAATCATGGCCACGACAACCCAACCATGGCCACCGTGACCCAATCATGGCCACCATGACCCAACCATGGCCACCGTGACCCATCCATGGCCACCATGACCCAACCATGGCCACCATGACACAACCATGGCCACCATGACACAATCATGGCCACCACCACCCAACCATGGCCACCGTGACCCAACCATGGCCACCATGACACAATCATGGCCACCACCACCCAACCATGGCCGCCATGACCCATCCATGGCCACCATGACACAACCATGACCACTATAACCCAGCCATGGCCACCACCACTCAACCATGGCCACCACCATCCAACCATGGCCACCACGGTGTTCTTCCATGACCCACCCATGCCGACCCTAAAGTTCCTCCACATCCACCACAGGTGTCCAGCTGTGTCCAGGTGTCCCCAAATGAGGAGTTCTGGGGTGTCCCCTCCCCCCCACAACCATGGCCACCGTGACCCAATCATGGCCACCATGACCCAACCATGGCCACCGTGACCCATCCATGGCCACCATGACCCAACCATGGCCACCATGACACAACCATGGCCACCATGACACAATCATGGCCACCACCACCCACCCATGGCCGCCATGATCCAACCATGGTCACCATGACACAATCATGGCCACCATGACCCAACCATGGCCACCGTGACCCAACCATGGCCACCACCACCCAACCATGGCCACCGTGACCCAACCATGGCCACCACCACCCAACCATGGCCACCGTGACCCAATCATGGCCACCATAAAACAGCCACGGCCACCATGACCCAACCATGGCCACCATGACACAACCATGGCCACCACCACCCAACCATGGCCACCGTGACCCAACCATGGCCACCACCACCCAACCATGGCCACCAAGACCCAATCATGGCCATCGTGACCCAACCACAGCCACCATGATCCAACCACGGCCACCATGACCCAACCATGGCCACCATAAAACAGCCATGGCCGCCATGACCCAACCATGGCCACCATGATCCAACCATGGCCACCGTGACCCAACCATGGCCACCATGATCCAACCATGGCCACCACCACCCAACCATGGCCACCGTGACCCAATCATGGCCACCATAACCCATGACACAATCATGGCCACCATGACCCAACCATGGCCACCGTGACCCAACCATGGCCACCACCACCCAACCATGGCCACCGTGACCCAACCATGGCCACCATGACACAATCATGGCCACCACCACCCAACCATGGCCGCCATGACCCATCCATGGCCACCATGACACAACCATGACCACTATAACCCAGCCATGGCCACCACCACTCAACCATGGCCACCACAACCCAACCACGGCCACCACGATGCTCTTCCATGACCCACCCAAGCCCACCCTGATGTTCCTCCACATCCCCCTCAAGTTCCTCGGGGCCACCACAGGTGTCCAGCTGTGTCCAGGTGTCCCCAAATGAGGAGTTTTGGGGTGTCCCCTCCCCCCCAAAAACAGCCACAGGTGAAAATCAGTAAAACTTTTATTAACTTCCCCCCAAAAAATCTGAAATCCCCCAAAATTCGCTTCCCCTCCCCCCCAACAACCCCAAAAGTGAAAACAGCAAAATAAAGGGGGGTGGGGGAGGGGCAAAGGACCCCTCCCCCGAACCCCCAAAACCGCCACCAACGAGCGCCCCCTCCCCCACCCCCCTCCCCATCCTCATTAACGAACCTCCCCACCAGACCCCCCAAAATCGGGGGGGGTCCCCACACCTGCCCCTCCCCCACCCCTGGACTGGGGGTCACTTCTGAACTGGGGGGGGTCACCCTCGACTTGGGGGTCACCCCAAATTCAAGGGTCAGAGCCTGGTTTGGGGATCAACCCCCCAATTTAAGGGTGTCACCCCAATTTAGGGGTTCCCTCAATTTAAGGGTTTCACCCCAATTTAGGGGTCTCCCCCAATTTAAGGGTGTCACCCCAATTTAGGGGTCTCCCCCAATTTAAGGGTTTCACCCCAATTTAGGGTTCCCCCCCCAGTTTAGGGGTCAGCCCCAGTTTGGGGGTTGCCCCCTCTGAATTTTGGGGTCCAGTTCAATTCAGGGGCTCCCCCTCAATCTCGAGGGTCTCTCAAATTCCAGGGGTGACCCCAATTTAGGGGTGACCCCAAATTTAGCCATCACCACCCTTTGGTGTCACCCCAATTTCAGGGTCACCCCAACAGTCTGTGGGGGCCTGGGGGGTGACAACAGCCCCGTCGCCACCGGAACTTGGGGTTTGGGGGTGACCACCCCGATCCCATTTCCATTTGGGGGTGACAACCCCGTCACCGTTGGGAATTGGGGTCACCCTCAACGCCTGTGGGTTTAGGGCTTGACAACCCCATTTCCATGGAAATTCGGGTGTCACCCCCACGACTGTTTAGAGTTTTGGGGGGGTGCCAACCCCAACCCCATTTCAGGGTGACAATGTCGTTCATGTGTAAGTTTTGGGGTCACCCCCACAGCCTGTGGGGTTTTGGGGTGACAACAACCTCGACCCCATCAGAATTTGGGGGTTCAGGGGGTGACACCCCCAACCCCGTATCCACGTGGGGGTTTGGGGGGTGACAACCACCGCATCCCCAAATCGATTTTGGGGTCACCCCCACGGCCTGTGGGGTTTGGGGGTGACAACAACCCCGTCCCCGTATCCATGTGAGGTTTTTGGGGTGACAACAACCCCGACCCCATATCCATGTGGGGTTTTTGAGGTGAAACAACACCCCCATTCCCACATGGATCTGGGGGTCACCCCCACGGCCTGAGGGGGTTTTCGGGGGGTGCCACCCCCGTCCCCGCAGGCTGACCCTCAGTTGTCGTCGTCGCTGTCGTCGGGGCTGATGGCCGGGCTGGTGAGGCTGTAGGTGGGCGACGTGGGGCTGTAGCCGGGGGACGTGGGGCTGTACGTGGAGCCCTTGGGCGACGTGGGGCTGTAGGTGGGTGACGTGGGGCTGTACTTGGGCGACGTGGGGCTGTAGGTGGGCGAGGTGGGGCTGTACTTGGGCGACGTCGGGGTGTAGACGGGCGAGGTGGGGCTGTAGGTGGGCGAGGTGGGGCTGTACTTGGGGGACGTGGGGCTGTACTTGGGCGAGGTCGGGGTGTACTCGGGGGAGCTGGGGCTGTAGCTGGGGCTGGTCGGGGTGTACTTGGGGGACGTGGGGCTGTAGCTGGGGCTGCTGGGGCTGTAGCTGGGGCTGCTGGGGGTGTAGGTGGGCGACTGCGGGGTGTAGCGGGGGCTGGACGGGCTGTAACTGGGAGAGGTGGGGCTGTAGTTGGGCGAGGTCGGGGTGTAGTTGGGGCTGGTGGGGCTGTAACTGGGAGAGGTGGGGCTGTAACTGGGCGAGGCGGGGCTGTAACTGGGAGACGTCGGGCTGTAACTGGGAGAGGTCGGGCTGTAGCTCGGCGAGGAGGGGCTGTAACTGGGCGAGGCGGGGCTGTAACTGGGAGACGTCGGGCTGTAACTGGGAGAGGTCGGGCTGTAGCTCGGCGAGGAGGGGCTGTAACTGGGCGAGGCGGGGCTGTAACTGGGAGACGTCGGGCTGTAACTGGGAGAGGTCGGGCTGTAGCTCGGCGAGGAGGGGCTGTAACTGGGCGAGGCGGGGCTGTAACTGGGAGACGTCGGGCTGTAACTGGGAGAGGTCGGGCTGTAGCTCGGCGAGGAGGGGCTGTAACTGGGCGAGGCGGGGCTGTAACTGGGAGACGTCGGGCTGTAACTGGGAGAGGTGGGGCTGTAGCTCGGCGAGGTGGGGCTGTAACTGGGCGAGGTGGGGCTGTAACTGGGAGACGTCGGGCTGTAACTGGGCGACGTCGGGCTGTAGCTGGGCGAGGTGGGGCTGTAACTGGGGGAGGTCGGGCTGTAGCTCGGGGACGTGGGGCTGTAACTGGGAGAAGTCGGGCTGTAACTGGGCGAGGTCGGGCTGTAAACTGGGCGAGGTGGGGCTGTAACTGGGAGACGTCGGGCTGTAACTGGGCGACGTCGGGCTGTAGCTGGGCGAGGTGGGGCTGTAACTGGGGGAGGTCGGGCTGTAGCTCGGGGACGTGGGGCTGTAACTGGGAGAAGTCGGGCTGTAACTGGGCGAGGTCGGGCTGTAACTGGGAGAGGTGGGGCTGTAACTGGGCGAGGTTGGGCTGTAGTTGGGTGAGGTGGGGCTGTAACTGGGGGAGGTGGGGCTGTAACTGGGTGACGTCGGGCTGTAGCTGGGGCTCTGTGGGGTGTAGCCCCCCGGCGACCGCGGCTCGTAGGCGGGGGACGTCGGGCTGTAGCTGGGGGACATGGCCCCACCTGCGGAGAGGGAACACGGGGTCAGGAGCGTGTTGGGGGGGTGGATGGGGTGTGGTAGAGGGTCGCGAGGCCCTTTGAGGTGTTGTTTGGGTGTTGTGGGGCTGTTGTTGTTGTTGGGGTGTTGGGGGTCTCTTTGAGGTGTTGTTCGGCTGTTGGAGGTGTTGGGGGTCCCTTTGAGGTGGTGTTGGGGTGTTGTAGAGGGTTGTAAATCCCTTTGAGGTGTTGTTCAGGTGTTGTAGGGCTGTTGGTGGTCTCTTTGGGGTGTTGTTCAGGTATTGTGGAGCTGTTGGTAGTGTTGGGGTGTTGTGGGGGTGTTGGGGTTCCCTTTGAGATGTTGTTCAGGTGTTGGGAGTCCCTTTGGGGTGTTGTTCACGTGTTGTGGGGCTCAGTGAGGGGGTGTTATGGGGTGTTGTTAGTGGTTACAGGGTGTTTAGGGTGTTTTGCACTATTTGAGATTATTTTAGGGTGTTACAGGGTGTTTAGGGTGTTGTTACAGGTTCCATGGTGCTCTCTTGGAATTTTGGGTTATTTTCTGTTATTTTTGGGGTGGTTTAGGGTGTTACAGGGTGAACTGTAAGTATTTCAGGTTCTTTGAGGGGTATTTTAGGGTGTTACAGGGTGTTCGGGGTGTTTCAGTGTGTTTTGGGGTGTTGTTAGTGGTTACAGGGTGCTCTGCGGGTGTTTTGGGTTATTTATGGGGTATTCTAGGGTGTTACAGGGTGTTTAGGGTATTGTTACAGGTTACAGCGTGCTTTGTGGGTGCTTTGGGTTATTTTAGAGGTATTTTAGGGTGTTTTGGGGTGTTACAGGGTGTTTTGGGGTGTTGTTAGGTGTTACAGGGTGTTTCATGGGTATTTTGAGTTATTTTAAGGGTATTTCAGGGTGTTCAGGGTGTTTCAGTATGTTCTGGGTGTTGTTGGAGGTTGCATGGTGTCTTACAGGTATTTCTGGGATATTTTAGGGTGTTACAGGGTGTTTCAGTATGTTTTGGGGTGTTGTTAGGTGTTACAGGGTGTTTCATGGGTATTTTGGGTTATTTTAAGGGTATTTCAGGGTATTTTGGGGTGTTCAGGGTGTTTTAGTGTGTTCTGGGTGTTGTTGGAGGTTGCATGGTGTCTTACAGGTATTTCTGGGATATTTTAGGGTGTTTCAGTGTGTTTTGGGGTGTTGTTAGGTGTCACAGGGTATTTTGGGTTATTTTAAGTTATTCTGGGGTGTTTTTGGGGCTGTACTCACCGGGGGAGGGGATGTAGGGGCTGGAGGGGCCAGGTGACCCCGGCGAGCCGGGCGTGGGTGACCAGGCCGGGGAGTAGCCGGGGCTGAACCCGGAGGCGTCGGAGGCGGCGCTGGGGGAGAACCCGGCCCCGCCCGGGGTCATGCCGCTGCCTGTGGGGGAAAAGGGGTCAGGGGCACCCCAAAACCAGACCAGGACCCCAAAACACAACCTGAGACCCCAAAACCAGCCCCAAACACAACCCGGCCCCGTCCAGGGTCATGCCGCTGCCTGTGGGGGAAAAGGGGTCAGGGGCACCCCAAAACCAGCCCCAAACTCAACCCGGCCCCGCCCAGAGTCATGCCACTGCCTGTGGGGGAAAAGGGGTCAGGGGTACCCCAAAACCAGACCAGGACGCCAAAACCAGCCCCAAACACAACCTGGCCCCGTCCAGGGTCATGCCACTGCCTGTGGGGGAAAAAGGGGGTCTGGGGCACCCCAAAACCAGCCCAGGACCCCAAAACCACACCCAAACACAACCTGGGACCCCAAAACCAGCCCCAAATCCAGCCCAGGACCCCAAAACCACCCCCAAACACAACCTGGCCCCATCCTGCTCCCTGTGGGGGAAAAGGGGGTCTGCGAGACCCCTCAACATCCCCAAACTCCCCCCACAGCCATCGCAGTGCAAAACCAGCCCAGGAACCCCAAAACACAACCTGAGACCCCAAAACCAGCCCCAAACTCAACCCGGCCCCGCCCAGAGTCATGCCACTGCCTGTGGGGGAAAAGGGGTCAGGGGTACCCCAAAACCAGACCAGGACGCCAAAACCAGCCCCAAACACAACCTGGGACCCCAAAACAACCCCGAAATACAACCCAGAACCCCAAAACCAGCCTGAGACCCCAAAACCACCCCCAAACACAACCTGGCCCCGTCCAGGGCCATGCCACTGCCTGTGGGGGAAAAAGGGGGTCTGGGGCACCCCAAAACCAGCCCAGGACCCCAAAACCACCCCCAAACACAACCTGGCCCCATCCCGCTCCCTGTGGGGGAAAAGGGGGTCTGCGAGACCCCTCAACATCCCCAAACTCCCCCCACAGCCATCGCAGTGACCCCCACTTTACCCCAGACCCCTTCAAACGCCCCTCCCAGTCCCTCCCAGTTCCTCCCCGTCCCACCCAGTCCATCCCAGTCCATCCCAGTCCCTCCCAGTGCCCCACGCACCCACGCTGGGGGACCAGGCGCCGTAGGCCGGGGTGGCCCCCTGGTTCCAGGGGGTCATGGCTGGGGACATCCCCCCCATGGGGCTGGGGGCCGAGCCGAAGAACATCCCGGTGGCTGCGGAGAGAGTGGGGTCAGGGGCACCCCAAAAACGGGGGCACCCCAAAATACGGGGATATCAACATGTGGGGGACATCAAAATCTGGGAGACACCAAAATCTGGGAGACATCAACATCTTGGGGGACATCAAAATTTGGTAGAACCCTAAAATCTGAAATACATTAACATCCGAGGGACCCCAAAATCTGGGGGTGACACCAAAATCTGGGGGACATCAACATCTGGGGAACACTAAAATCTGGGGGACACCAACATGTGGGGGACCCCAAAATCTGGGGGACATCAACATATGAGAAACCCCAAAATTTGGGGGACATCACCATTGGGAGAACACCAACATCTGAGGAACCCCAAAATCTGTGGGACACCAAAATCTGAAGGACATTAACATCTGGGGGATCCCAAAATCTGGGGTGACCCCAAAACTTGGAGGTCACCATCTGGGGGATGGTGACACCAGGTGACCAGAGCTGAGAGATGGCGGTGGCCAGCGTGACATCAGAGATCTTTGTGTCACCACCACCCTTGGGGTGTCCCCAACTCCTCCCTTGTAGGATCCAGTCCTGGTGCACCCCAAAATCTGCATGGACCCCAAAATCTGCGGCTGTCCCCTCTTGCCATGGGACACCCAGAACCGGCCAATGAGCACCACGACCTTGAAGGTCTTTGTGCCACCACCTTTGGGGTGTCCCCAGCTGCTCCTGGAGGAACACGGCCACCATTCCAAGGGTGTCCCAATTTTCCCAGGGGGTGTCCCCAGGGTTCTGGGGGTGTCCCCAGGGTTTCGGGGACTCACGGCCGCCGACGCCGAGGCCGGGCAGGGCGCTGGGGATCTCCATGCCGTGCTTGCACTTCTCGGCGTCCAGCAGGAGATCGAAGCAGCCGGTGCCGGCCGGGGCCAGCTGGCCCAGCATGATGTTCTCGGACACGCCCTTCATGGGGTCGCTCTCCCCGTGGGCAGCTGCCTCCATCAGGACGTCGACCTGAGTGGGGGGAACACCCCAAAATCAGCTTCAACTTTTAAATGTCCTTCTTGAACCCCAAATCCTGTAAAATGTCCACAGAATGCCCCATTCCCAGCCCCCAAACCCCCAAACCCCATTCCCCAATTCCCATTCCCACCCCCAAATCTCTCTTCTCCAACTCCATTCCTACCCCATTCCCAGCCCCCAATTCCCATTCTCATTCCCAGCCCCATTCCTACCCCAAACCCTGTTCCCATCTGATTCCCACCCCCAATTCCTGTTCCCACTCCACTCCCACCCCCATTCCTGTTCCCAAACCCCGTTCCTGATCCTGTCCCCGCACCGTCTCCTCGAAGGAGCACTTCATGAGGGGCCCGGTGTCCTGGCAGTTCCCAAAACCCCACTCCCACCCCAATCCCCCATTCCCAAACCCTGTTCCTGATCCCGTTCCCGCACTGTCTCCTCGAAGGAGCACTTCATGAGGGGCCCGGTGTCCTGGCGGTTGACGCCATGCCGGGTGATGGCCATCAGGTGGCCCCGCGAGGTCATGGTGTCGCACAGCAGCGCCAGGTGCCGGTAGTTGACGTAGGAGCCGTCGAAGGAGATGACGTGGTAGAGCTCCCGCTCCAGCGCCTTCCGCACCGCCTCGATCCCCAGAACCTGCGGTCCCGAAAGCCGGGAGGTGGGAATCCCAAAATTCCAGGGGGTGGGAAATCCCAAAATCCAGGGATCCAGGAGTCCCAAAATCCAGGAGGTTGGGAATTCCCAAATTTCACGGGATGGGAAATCCCAAATCAGGGGGTTGGAAATTCCCGAAATCCAGGGATCCAGGAATCCCAAAATCCAGGGGGTGGGAAATCCCAAAATCCAGGGATCCACAAATCCCAAAATCCAGGGGTTGGGAATTCCCAAATCCACAGCGTGGGAAATCTCAAAATCCAGGGATCCACAAATCCCAAAATCCGGGGGGGTGCAGGGGGTGGGAAATCCCAAAATCCAAGGATCCACGAGTCCCAAAATCCGGGAGGTGGGAATCCCAAAATCCAGGGGGTGGGAAATCCCAAAATCCAAGGATCCACGAGTCCCAAAATCCGGGAGGTGGGAATCCCAAAATTCAGGGGGTGGGAAATCCCAAAATCCAAGGATCCAGGAGTCCCAAAATTCAGGAGGTGGGAATCCCAAAATCTGGGAGGTAGGAATTCCCAAAATCCAGAGATCCACAAGCTCCAAAATCCAGGAGGTGGGAAATCCCAAAATTCAGGGGATGGGAAATCCCAAATCTGGGGGTTGGAAATTCCTGAAATCCAGAGATCCATGTGTGTCCCCAGCCCAGGTGACTCATGGTGAAGATCTCCACGATGTCGTTGGAGGTGGTGCGCCATGAGGACCATGATGTCCCTCAAGCCCCAGCCCAGGTGTGTCCTCAGCCCAGGTGACTCATGGTGAAGATCTCCACGATGTCGTTGGAGGTGGTGCGCCATGAGGACCATGATGTCCCTCAAACCCCAGCCCAGGTGTGTCCTCAGCCCAGGTGACTCATGGTGAAGATCTCCACGATGTCGTTGGAGGTGGTGCGCCATGAGGACCATGATGTCCCCCAAACCCCAGCCCAGGTGTGTCCCCAGGTGACTCACAAGGACCATGTCCACCATGGAGCCCCCAGGTGTGTGTCCCTCACCCCCAGGTGTGTCCCCAGGTGTCCCCAGGTGACTCATGGTGAAGATCTCCACCATGAGGACCCAGATGTCCCTCAAACCCCAGCCCAGGTGTGTCCTCAGCCCAGGTGACTCACGCTGAAGATCTTCACGATGTCGTTGGAGGTGGTGCGCCATGAGGACCATGATGTCCCCCAAACCCCAGCCCAGGTGTGTGTCCCTCACCCCCAGGTGTGTCCCCAGGTGACTCACGGTGAAGATCTCCACCATGGAGCCCCCAGGTATGTCCCTGACCCCCAGGTGTGTCCCCAGGTGACTCACGGTGAAGATCTCCACGATGTCGTTGGAGGTGGTGCGCACGGGGTCCACGTCCTTCTCGCTCAGCACCCGCATGAGGCTGACGCCGTCGGTCTCCAGGATCCACTCCTGGAGAGCCTTGAACTCCCCGTCCTCGGTGATGATGATCTTCTTCTTGTTGTCCGTCTGCGGCAGGTGCATGTACACCTGGGCAGGTGGGGACAGGTGTCACCATGGCTGTCCCACATCTTCTAAAGGTCTTTTAGAACCTCCTGAAAGTCTCCATGGAGAACTCCTGGTGCTCCTCAAGATCTACCTGGAGATCTTGAACCCCCCGAGCACCTGGTGGTACCCAAAGACCTCCTCAGGTGGCCACAGGGACCATCCTGGATCTTCTAAAGGTCTCCTGGAACCTTCTAAAGGTCACCATGGAGCTCTCCAGGTATCTCTGAAGACCTTCCATCCCTTCATGGACCCCTCCAGGTGTCCCCAAGCCCCCCCGGGTGTCCCCAAGCCCCCCCAGGTGTCCCCACCTTGCTGATCTGCTCGATGCCCTGCAGGGTCATGTCCGTCAGCATGTTGGACTCGATGCAGCGCAGGAAGACGTCGTCGTCCATCTTGTCCACCACCTCCTCCTCCTGGGGACATGGCAGGGGACAGGTGACGCCCAGGCCATCGCGGGTGTCCCCTGAGGTGTCCCCTGAGGTGTCCCCAGGTCCCCGCCCACCTCCTGCATCTTGTTCTCGTCGCTGTTCATGATGCGGATGCGCAGCACCAGCTTCTCGGCGTTGTCGTCGTTGAAGATGCAGTTGAGGTCGTCACCAAAGCCTGGGAGGGGACACGGGGTGGGGACAGGGTCACCTCCAAGGTCACGGCACCCAAGGGACTTCCAGGGTGTCCTCAAAGATCTGCCAGGAACCCCCAAAGCTCCTCCAGGCTCACCCAGAACTTCTTAAAGAGCCCTCAGATGCCTTCAAGGGTCACCCAAGACCCTTAAAAAGATTCTCAGATGCCTTCAAAACTCATCCACGTCACCTCAAACCCCCTTCAGGTTCCCCAAAACCTCCTCAGATGCCTTCAAAGCTCATCCAGGTCACCTCAAACCCCCCTCAGGCCCCTCAAAAGCTGCTCAGACACCTTCAACCCTCATCCGGGTCACCCCAAACCCCCTTCAGCCCCCTCAAAAGCAGCTCAGATGCCCTCAAAGCTTATCCAAGTCACCTCAAACCCCCTTCAAGCCCCCCAAAACCTCCTCAGACACCCTCAAAGCTCATCCAGGTCACCCCAAACCCCCTCCAGGTCCTCCAAACCCCCCCCAAACCCCCCCGGGCCCCGTGCCCGGCGCGCCCACCGGCGTTGATCTTCTCGGCGATCTGCTCCATGGTCAGCTTGCGGTCGGTCATGTGCTTGCGGTCCAGCTCGACGCGCAGCAGCCACGGCGAGATGCGGCTGACGTCGAAGTCGGGCATCTCGTAGTAGACGTTGACCCACTCCTGGTCCTCGGCCACCACCGTGCTCTGAGGGTTGGGGTCGTAGTAGATGGCGGTGTTGGCCGTCACCTTGCGCAGCGTGGTGTGCTCCAGGCGGCACAGGATGTCCTGGGGACAGTCAGGGGACATGGGGACAGTCAGGGGACACTGGGGACATTGGGTGTGGTGTGCTCCAGGGGGCACAGGATGTCCTGGGGACATGGGGACATTGGGGACAGTCAGGGGACATTGGGGACATTGGGTGTGGTGTGCTCCAGGCGGCACAGGATGTCCTGGGGACATGGGGACATTGGGGACAGTCAGGGGACATTGGGGACATTGGGGGCGGTGTGCTCCAGGCGGCACAGGATGTCCTGGGGACATGGGGACAGTCAGGGGACACTGGGGACACTGGGGACAGTCAGGGGACATTGGGTGTGGTGTGCTCCAGGCGGCATAGGATGTCCTGGGGACGTTGGGGACATGGAGCACATGGGGACATTGGGGACATGGAGAGGACAGAAGGACATTGGGTGTGGTGTGCTCCAGGCGGCACAGGATGTCCTGGGGACAATCAGGGGACATGGGGACAGTCAGGGGACATTGGGGACATTGGGTGTGGTGTGCTCCAGGGGGCACAGGATGTCCTGGGGACAGTCAGGGGACATGGGGACAGTCAGGGGACACTGGGGACACTACGAACAATCAGAAGACATGGGGACATTGGGGACACTGAGTGTGGTGTTCCAGGTGGCACAGGATGTCCTGAGGGAACATGGACATGGGAACATAGAAGAACATTGGGGCACAGAGGGGACACAAAGCCACAGGGCCACCACGGGGACATGAAGCTATGGAACCACCATGGGGCTGAGGGGACACAAGAGGTGACACAAAGCCACAGGGCCATCACAGGGACACAAAGCCATGGAGCCACCACAGGGGCACAGGATGTCCTGGGGACATGGGGACATTGGGGACAGTCAGGGGACATTGGGGACATTGGGTGTGGTGTGCTCCAGGCGGCACAGGATGTCCTGGGGACGTTGGGGACATGGGGACAGTCAGGGGACACTGGGGACACTGGGGACAGTCAGGGGACATTGGGGACATGGAGCACATGGGGACATGGAGAGGACAGAAGGACATTGGGTGTGGTGTGCTCCAGGCGGCACAGGATGTCCTGGGGACAGTGGGGACAGTCAGGGGACACTGGGGACAGTCAGATGACATGGGGACATTGGGGACAGTCAGGGGACATTGGGTGTGGTGTGCTCCAGGTGGCACCGGATGTCCTGAGGGGACAGGGACATGGGAACATAGAAGAACATGGGGACACAGAGGGCACACAAATCCACAGGGCCACCATGGGGACACGAAGCCATGGAGCCACCACGAAGCTGTGGGGACACAGAGGTGACAAAGCCACAGGGCCATCACAGGGACACAAAGCCATGGAGCCACCACAGGGCTGTGGGGACAAGGAGGTCACACAAACCCACAGGGCCACCATGGGGACACAAAACCGCAGGGCCACCACGGGGACATGAAGCCATGGAGCCACCACAGAGCCGTGGGGACAAGGAAGTGACAAAGGCACAAGGCCACCACAGGGACATGAAGTCATGGAGCCACCACAGGGATGAGGGGACACAGAGGTGACACAAACCCACAGAGCCACCACAGGGCTGTGAGGACACAAACCCACGGGGCCACCACCAGCAGACCCCCCCAGCCGTGTCCCCAGCGTGTCCCCAGGTGCCACCTTGGCGCGCTCGGCGTCGCGGGCGCTCTGGCCCAGCAGGAACACGGTGAGCGACGGCGTCTTGGGCTTCTTGGAGATGTTGATGAGCTCCTTGAGGCGGGGCACGCCCAGGGTGACGTTCTTGGCCGACACCCCCGCGTAGTGGAAGGTGTTGAGGGTCATCTGCGTGGCCGGCTCGCCCAGGGACTGCGCGGCCAGCGCGCCCACCATCTCCCCGGGGTGGGCCTGAGGGGACACGGGGACAGCAGTGTCACAGCGGGGTCACCAAACCCCAAAGTGACCCCAAACCATCTCCCCGGGGTGGGCCTGAGGGGACACGGGGACAGCAGTGTGTCACAGCAGTGTCACAACCCCAAAGTGACCCCCAACCATCTCCCCGGGGTGGCCCTGAGGGGACACGGGGACAGCAGTGTGTCACAGCAGTGTCACAACCCCAAAGTGACCCCCAACCATCTCCCCGGGGTGGCCCTGAGGGGACACGGGGACAGCAGTGTCACAGCGGGACAGCAGTGTCACAGCAGTGTCACAGTGGGGTCACCAAACCCCAAAGTGACCCCAAACCATCTCACCAGGGTGGGCCTGAGGGGACATGGGGACAGCAGTGTGTCACAAACCCCAAGGATGACCCCAAACCCCGTGCTCACGATGGCCTGGTTGAACTTGGACTCGATCTCGCCCAGCAGCCAGTCCAAGGCTGACCCCAAACCCTGACCCCAAACCCCAAACCCTGACCCCAAATCCTGACCCCAAACCCCCGAGGATGACCCCAAATCCCACACTCACGATGGCCTGGTTGAACTTGGACTCGATCTCGCCCAGCAGCCAGTCGAAGGCTGACCCCAAACCCCAAACCCTGACCCCAAATCCTGACCCCAAACCCCCGAGGATGACCCCAAATCCCACACTCACGATGGCCTGGTTGAACTTGGACTCGATCTCGCCCAGCAGCCAGTCGAAGGCCTCCCCGCTGAGCCGGAACTCCTCCACCATGCGGCGGCTGCAGAGCGTGGAGCGCAGGTGGATGTTGAAGAGCAGCGTCGCGTTCTCCTGCGCCTGCCGGCTCAGCGGGTCCTCCCCGTTGACGATCACCAGCTTGCGGCTCAGCTCCTTCACCCCTGAGGGGACAGCACGGTCACAGGGGGTCCCAAGGACGGCCGGAACCTTCCAGAACATCCCCATGCGGCGGCTGCAGAGCGTGGAGCGCAGGTGGATGTTGAAGAGCAGCGTCGCGTTCTCCTGCGCCTGCCGGCTCAGCGGGTCCTCCCCGTTGACGATCACCAGCTTGCGGCTCAGCTCCTTCACCCCTGAGGGGACAGCACGGTCACAGGGGGTCCCAAGGACGGCCGGAACCTTCCAGAGCATCTTCAAACTCATCACGGCTTCCTGAGGGACTCCAGAACCTTCCAGAACATCCCCAAACTCATCATGGCTTCCTGAGGGACTGAAGAACCTCCAGAACCTTCCAGAGCATCTCCAAACCCATCACAGGTTTCTGAGGGACTCAAAAACCTCTGGAACTTTCCTGAGGGACCTCAAACTCATCACAGCTTCCTGAGGGACTCAAGGACCTCCAGGACCTTCCAGAGCATCTCCAAACTCATCATGGCTTCCTGAGGGACTCAAAAACCTCTGGAACTTTCCAGAGCATCTCCAAACTCATCACGCCTTCCTGAGGGACCCCAAACCTGTCACAGGTTCCTGAGGGACTCGAGAATCTCCAGAACCTTCCAGAGCTCTCTAAACCCATCACAGCTTCCTGAGGGACTCAAGGACCTCCAGGACCTTCCAGAGCATCTCCAAACTCATCATGGCTTCCTGAGGGACTCAAAAACCTCTGGAACTTTCCAGAGCATCTCCAAACTCATCACGGCTTCCTGAGGGACTCGAGGACCTCCAGAACCTTCCTGAGGGAATCCCAAACCCATCACGACTTCCTGAGGGACTGAAGAACCTTCAGAACCTTCCAGAACATCTCCAAACTCATCATGGCTTCCTGAGGGAATCAAGAACCTCCAGAACCTTCCAGAGCATCTCCAAACCCATCACGGCTTTGTGAGGGACTCAAGGATCTCCAGAACCTTCCTGAGGAACTCAAGGACCTCCAGAACCTTCCTGAGGGACTCAAGGACCTCCAGAACCTTCCAGAGCATCTCCAAACTCATCACAGCTTCCTGAGGGACCCAAGGATCTCCAGAACCTTCCTGAGGGACCCCAAACCTGTCACAGGTTCCTGAGGGACTCGAGAATCTCCAGAACCTTCCAGAGCTCTCTAAACCCATCACAGCTTCCTGAGGGACTCAAAAACCTCCAGAACCTTCCTGAGGAACTCAAGGACCTCCAGAACCTTCCTGAGGGACCCCAAACCTGTCACAACTTCTTGAGGGATTCAAGGATCTCCGGAACCTTCCAGAACATCTCCAAACCCATCACAGCTTCCTGAGGGACTCAAAAACCTCCAGAACCTTCCCGAGGGACCCCAAACCCATTACACTTTCCTGAAGGACTCAAGGACCTCCAGCACCTTCCTGAAGGATTCAAGGACCTCCAGAACCTTCCTGAGGGACCCAAGGATCTCCAGAACCTTCCTGAGGGACCCCAAACCCATCACAGCTTCCTGAGGGACTCAGGACCTCCAGAACCTTCCTGAGGGATTCAAGGATCTCCAGAACCTTCTAGAACATCTCCAAACCCATCAAAGCTTCCTGAAGGCCTCAAGGAACTCCAGAACCTTCCCGAGGGACCCCAAACCCATTACACTTTCCTGAAGGACTCAAGGACCTCCAGCACCTTCCTGAAGGATTCAAGGACCTCCAGAACCTTCCTGAGGGACCCAAGGATCTCCAGAACCTTCCTGAGGGACCCCAAACCCATCACAGCTTCCTGAGGGACTCAGGACCTCCAGAACCTTCCTGAGGGATTCAAGGATCTCCAGAACCTTCTAGAACATCTCCAAACCCATCAAAGCTTCCTGAAGGCCTCAAGGAACTCCAGAACCCTCCTGGAGAGCCCCAGAGCTCGCCCCACTCACCCTCCACCACCTTGACGGGGTGCAGGTCCGAGGGCAGCCGCGAGTTGATGTGGAAGATCTTCTGCGCGTTCCAGATCATGCGGAGCAGGTTACAGGGGAGCACCACCTGGGGGAGAGGACCCAAAAATGGGGTCAGAACCCCAAAAACGGGGGAAGAACCCAAAAAATGGGGGAGAAGAACCCCAAAAATGGGGGAGAACCCCAAAAACGGGAGAGAAGAACCCCAAAAAAGGGGTCAGAACCCCAAAAACGGGGGGTCAAAACCCCACAAATGGGATCAGCACCACCTGGGGGAGAGGACCCCAAAAATGGGGGTCAGAACCCAAAAAATGGGGGAGAACCCCAAAAACAGGAGAGAAGACCCCAAAAAAGGGGTCAGAACCCCAAAAACGGGGGGTCAAAACCCCACAAATGGGATCAGCACCCCAAAATGGGGGAAGAACCCCAAAAATAGGGAGTCAGAACCCAAAAATGGGGCAACTCAGATGGGTTTTGAGGTATCTTGGTGGGATTTTGAGGTATCTCGGATGAGTTTTGGGGTATCTTGGTGGATTTTGGGGTATCTCGGATGGGATTTTGGGGTATCTCTATGGGGTTTTGGGATATCTTGGTGGGATTTTGGGGTATCTCGGATAGGTTTTGGGGTATCTCTATGGGGTTTTGCGGGGTCAGAACCCCAAAAACGGGGGAAGAACCCAAAAAATGGGGGAGATGAACCCCAAAAATGGGGGAGAACCCCAAAAACAGGAGAGAAGACCCCAAAAAAGGGGTCAGAACCCCAAAAACGGGGGGTCAAAACACCACAAATGGGATCAGCACCACCTGGGGGAGAGGACCCCAAAAATGGGGGTCAGAACCCAAAAAATGGGGGAGAACCCCAAAAACGGGGGAGAACCCCAAGAATGCGGGAGAAGAACCCCAAAAATGGGTGAGAAGAACCCCAAAAATGAGGGAAGAACCCCAAAAACAGGGTCAGAACCCCAAAGATGGGGGTCAAAACACCACAAATGGGATCAGCACCACCTGGGGGGAGAGGACCCCAAAATCGGGGGTCAGAACCCCAAAAATGGGGGAGAACAACCTCAAAAATGGCATCAGCACCCCAAAATTGGGAGAAGAACCCCAAAAAGAGGGGTCAGAACCCCAAAAAAGGGGGAGAAGAACCCCAAAAACGGGTGTCAGAACACCACAAATGGGATCAGCACCCCAAAACAGGGGAAGAACCCCAAAAACACGGAGTCAGAACCCCAAAACCGGGGCAACTCAGTTGGGTTTTGGGGTATCTCAGTTGGGTTTTGGGGTATCTTGATGGGATTTTGGGGTATCTCGGATGGGTTTTGGGGTATCTTGGATGGGTTTTGGGGTATCTTGGTGGCATTTTGAGGTATCTCAGATGGGTTTTGAGGTATCTCGGATGGGTTTTGGGGTGCCCCAGGTGTTTCTGGGTTGGATTTTGGTGTCACCTTGCTGTCCCCGGTGGGGAAGATGACCCTGAGCACCTCCCTGTCCTCGCGCATGCGGTCGAACTCGCGCTCCAGCTCGTTCTGGATGTGGGCGTTGGACAGGATGTCCTTGACCAGCTCCTCCTGCAGCGTCCGGCGCAGCGCCCGCTCGTTGGTGTAGTCAAACTTGAACCTGTGGGGACACACGGACACCTCAGGGACATCCAGGGGACACCGAAGCATCGCCCACGTCACGCTGGAGAAGCTTGGGGACACCAAAAAAGCTGGTTCATACTGGGTAGGAGAAGGTTGGGGACACCAAAATGTGACCAAAGTTTGGGAGGAGAAGGTTGGGGACACCAAATGTGGGGCCCAATTTGGGGTGGAAGAGGTTGGGGACATCAAAATGTCACCCAGGTTGGGCTGGAGCAGCTTGGGGACAACCAAGTGTCACCCAGATTGGGGAGGAGCCACTTGAAGACCCCAAAATGTCCCCAACTTCTGGAAGGAGCCACTTGGGGACATCAAGATGGGTCTGAAACCTTGGAAGGAGCCACCTGAAGACCCCAAGATGTCCCCAACCCCTCTGAAGACCCCAAGATGTCCCCAACCCCTCTGAAGACCCCAAGATGTCCCCAACCTCCTTTTAAGACTCCAAGATGTCCCCACCTCCCATCTGAACACCCAAGATGTCCCAAACCCCAAGACCCCAAGAGGTCCCCAGCTCCCATGTGAAGACCCCAGAATGTCCCAAACTTCTGGAAGGAGCCACTTGGAGACAAGATGGGTCTGAAACCTTGGAAGGAGCCACATGAAGACCCCAAAATGTCCCCAACTCCCACCTGAAGACCCCAAGATGTCCCCAACCCCCGCAATGAGCCCCTCAATGACCCCATCCAGGACCACTGCCCCCACCCATGACCCCACCCTGCCCCGGGCCGTGTCCCCCCGTGTCCCTCACTTCTTCTCGAAGGCCTTGTTGGAGGGCTTGAGCGTGGCCAGGTTCTGGAACTCGACGCTCTCCCCGGCCAGCCCGTCCTCGCCGTAGCGCAGCTGCACCACCTGGTTGATGGAGTTCCTGACCGTGGCGTCGTACTTGACCATCACCGACTCCATGGACTTGATCAGCCGCCGCTGGATGTACCCTGGGGGTGGGGAGGCGTCAGTAGGCCCCTCAGGAGGGTGGGGGGTCTCCAGGGGGCACCTCGGGAGGGTTTGGGGTTCCTGGAGGCATCTGGGATCACCAGGAGGCATCTGGGGAGGGTTTGGGGATCCTGAAGGCATCTGGGATGGGTTTGGGGTCTCCAGGGGGCACCTCGGGAGGGTTGGGGGTCTCCAGGGGGCAGCTGGGGACGGTTTGGGGATGCTGGAGGTATCTGGTGAGGGTTTGGAATCACCAGGAGGCATCTGGGGAGAGGGTTTGGGATCTCCAGGAGGCATCAGGGGAGGGTTTGGGGTCTCCAGAGGGCATCTGGGGAGGATTTGGGGTTCCTGAAGGCATCTGGGGAGGGTTTGGGGATCCTGGAGGCACCTGGGATGGGTTTGGGGTCTCCAGGAGGTATCTGAGGAGGGTTTGGGATCTCCACGAGCTATCTGTAGAGGGTTTTAAGGCCCTCAGGATTTCCACACTGGAATTTTGGGATCCTGGAGGCCCCGTGGGTGGAATTCTGGACTCCTGGAAGCCCCCGGGGACCTTCTGGGGACACTGACCGGTCTCGGCCGTCTTGACGGCCGTGTCGATGAGGCCCTCGCGGCCGCCCATGGCGTGGAAGAAGAACTCGGTGGGCGTGAGGCCGGCCAGGTAGGAGTTCTCCACGAAGCCGCGGCTCTCGGGGCCGTAGTCGTCCTTGATGAAGTGCGGCAGCGTGCGGTGCTTGAAGCCAAACGGGATCCGCTTGCCCTCCACGTTCTGCTGCCCCACCACCGCGATCACCTGCGGGGACACCGCGCCAGGAGCTTGGGGACATCTCACCAGAGCAGCTCAGAAGGTCGAGAGGATCAAAGAACTTCATGGAGCTCCACAGGAAGCAATCAAAAGCTGCTGAGATGCTCCAGGAACCATCTAAAGCCACCTAAGATACTCCAGGAAGGGCTCCAAACCCTCTGAGATGCTCCAGGAACCATCTAAAGCCACCTAAGATACGCCCGGAACTGCCCCAAAGCTCCTGAGATCCTGCAGGAACTGCCCCAAATCTACTGAGATCCTCCAGGAACCACCCCAAACCCTCTGAGATCCTGCAGGAACCATCTAAAGCCACCTAAAATACTCCAGGAACTGCCCCAAACCCCCTGAGATCCTGCAGGAACTGCCCCAAAGCTCCTGAGATCATCCAGGAACTGCCCCAAATCCTCTGAGATCCTGCAGGAACCATCTGAACCCACCTAAGATACTCCAGGAACTGCTCCAAACCCTCTGAGATCATCCAGGAACTGCCCCAAATCTCCTGAGATCCTGCAGGAACTGCCCCAAAGCTCCTGAGATCCTCCAGGAACTGCCTCAAATTCCCTGAGATCCTCCAAGAACTGCCCCAAAGCTCCTGAGATCATCCAGGAACTGCCTCAAATTCCCTGAGATCCTCCAAGAACCACCCCAAACCTCCTGAGATCCTCAAGGAACCACCCCAAACCCACCTAAAACACTCCAGGAACTGCCCCAAAGCTCCTGAGATCCTCCAGAAACTGCCCCAAATTCCCTGAAATCCTGCAGGAACCACCCCAAACCCCTCACAGAGGCCCCCCAGACCTTCTGGAATGTTCCAAACCTGGGAGATGTTGATCTTGGAGCCCTTGGCCCCCGAGACCACCATGGACTTGAAGTTGTTGTACTCGGACAGGGACTTCTGGGCAGAGGAGCCGGTCTTGTCGCGGGCGTCGTTGAGGATCCGGTTCACCTGGTTCTCAAAGGTCTGCCGCAAGGTGTTGCCCGGGGTGGGCTCCAGCTCGTTGTTGTGGGCCTTCTCGATCACCTGGAGACCCCCAAAAACCACCCCAGAAGGGTCAGCGGGGTGTCCCGAAAGCCCCTGATGGCCAAAACCACCTGAGAAGCTCAAAAAACCCCAAAAAACTCCACAGGAACCAACCAAAACCCCTTGAGACCCTCCAGGAACCACCCCAAACCCTGGATGGAGCACCCCAAGATCTTCTGGAACCTCCTAAACCAGGGAGATGTTGGTCTTGGACCTCCTGGTGCCCAAAACTGTCTCAAGAACCTCAAAAAAATCCCAAAAAACTCCACAAACCCCCACAGGAACCTCCAGGAACCCCCTGAAATCCTCCAGGAACTGCTCCAAACCTCCTCAGATCCTGCAGGAACTGCCCCAAAGTTCCTGAGAACCTGCAGGAACTGCCCCAAACCCCCTCACATCCTCAAGGAACTGCCCCAAATCCCCCGAGATCCTCCTGGAACCACCCCAAACCACCTGAGATCCCCCAGGAACTGCCCCAAACCTCCTGAGATCCTCCAAGAACCTCGTGAGATCCTGCAGGAACTGCCCCAAACCTCCGTGGAACTCCCCAAATTCCCAGGAAAGCCCCAAATCTCACCTCGATGACGTCCTGCTTGGCCTTCTTGATGGTGTTCTGGATGTCCTGGTAGGTCTTGGCGTCGGCGATGGAGTCCCCGATGCCGATGGTGTGACCTGGGGGGGACACCTGGGGTTCAGGGGGATCCCCCCCAAATTCGGGGTCATCTCCAACCCCTCGCCCCAAAAAACCAACCCTGGGGCAGGTTCTGGTCAGGCTGTGGGACAAAGAGAGGACATGGGGACAATGAGGTCCTTGAGGGACAAAAATGGGGTTGGGACCATCCCCCAAAACTCCTGAGTCCTCCTTGTCCTCAAAAAAGGGGTTCAAGAACCACCAGGACATCAAGAATGGGGTGCAAGAGGCCCAGGGCTCCACCAAGTGAGGATCTGAGAAGGTCCCTGGGTGACCAAACCCCCATTAGATGCCACCAAGAGGTTCCCAGCCCCACCAGGTCCCCCCCCAGTCCCCAAAAAAAGGGGTCCAAGATCACCAGGACATCAAGAATGGGGTCCAAGAGGCCCAGGGCTCCACCAAGATGGGACCTGAGAAGGTCCCTGGGTGACCAAACCCCCATTAGATGCCACCAAGAGGCTCCCAGCCCCCAGGAGCCCCCGGGAGCGCGCTGACCCTCGATGAGCAGCCAGTTGTTGATGACAGTCTCCCCAAAAAACCAACCCTGGGGCAGGTTCTGGTCAGGCTGTGGGACAAAGAGAGGACATGGGGACAATGAGGTCCTTGAGGGACAAAAATGGGGTTGGGACCATCCCCCAAAACTCCTGAGTCCTCCTCGTCCTCAAAAAAGGGGTTCAAGAACCACCAGCACATCAAGAATGGGGTCCAAGATGCCCAGGGCTCCACCAAGTGGGAACCTGAGAAGGTCCCCAGGGGACCAAACCCCCATTAGATGCCACCAAGAAGGTTTCCAGCCCTGCCCAGGTCCCTCCAGTCCCCAAAAAAGGGACCCAAGAACACCAGAACCTAAAAAATGGGGTGCAAGAGGCCCAGGGCTCCACCAAGATGGGGCCTGAGAAGGTCCCTGGGTGACCAAACCCCCATTAGATGCCACCAAGAGGCTCCCAGCCCCCAGGAGCCCCCGGGAGCGCGCTGACCCTCGATGAGCAGCCAGTTGTTGATGACAGTCTGGATGTTGCTGTAGAAGAGCCGCGTGGTGTCGTGGCCCATCTCCAGGTAGGAGATGTGCACCAGGGACCCGGCCGACGTCCCCAGGGACTTCTTGCACAGGATGCCCATGATGAGCTCTCCGTTCTCCACGATCACCTGGGACACCCAAAGAACGGGGTCAGGACCTCAAAGATCCAAAAAAACCCCAAAACCCACCTGGAGCACCCCAAAAACAACCCCAGGTCACCTCGAAGTCGACAAAGCCCTCCTAGACCAGAGCAAGCTCCACCAAAAGCCCCTCAGATCCCACCCAAGCTCCCTCAGGCCACCCCAAATCATCCTTAGATCCCACCAAAGTCCACTCAAACCACCTCTGCACGCACCAAGGCCCCCTAAACCTCAAGCTCCAAAAGCCCCTCAGACCACCCCAAAGCCCCCTGAGATGCCACCAAATCCCCATCAAACCACCCAAACTCCCTCAGATCCCACCAAAGCCCCATCAAAACACCCCAAAGCTCCTCCAAGCCCCCCTAGACCTCCTTAAGTTCCAAAAGCCCCTCAGACCTCCCCAAAGCTCTCTCAGATCCCACCAAAACCCCCTCAGATCCCACCAAAGCCCCCTCAGATCCAACCAAAACCCTCTCAAACCACCCCAAACTCCCTCAGATCTCACCAAAGCCCCATCAAACCACCCCAAAACTCCCTCAGATGCCACCAAAGCCCCCTCAGATCCCACCAAAATCCCCTCAAACCACCCCAAAGCTCTCTCAGATCCCACCAAAGCCCCCTGAGATCCCACCAAAACCCCATCAAACCATCTCAAAGCTCTCTCAGATCCCACCAAAGCCCCCTCAGGCCACCTTCCCACCGCACCAAGCCCCCCAGACCTCCTCAGAGGTCCCCACCTTGGTGTCCCCGGGGGAGATGTGCTTGTAGGGGCCGCTGTCCTCGTCGTCGGGGTGGGTGCTGTGGGTGCGGATGCAGTTGATGTGGCCAGGGATGATCAGGGAGAAGATCTGCTTCCCTGTCCAGAGCGGCCGCGGCTTCAGGATGGCTGGCTGGGGCACCTTGCCGTCCCACGTGGACAGGAACATCAGCAGGTTCATCACCTCGCCCTGAGGGACACCCCAAAACTGTCACCAATCGAAGAAAAAACCACAGAGAACCCAAAATACCTCGAAGATGTCCCAAAGCTCCCCAAAATCCCTGTCCCACACGGACAGGAACATCAGCAGGTTCACCACCACACCCTGAGGGACACCCCAAAAATATCATTAATCATGAAAACCCCATAGAGATCCCAAAACATCCTGAAAGTGTCCTAAAAGTCCCAAAAATCCTCCCAAAACAAGACCATCTCAGGGAAGATGTCCCTCTTGGTGACCCTGTGCACGGCCATCAGCGTGTCCCACCTCAAACACCTGCTCTGAAACCCCTCAAATCACCCCAAACTACCTCAAACCAACCCTAAATCACAGCCCTCCTAGACCAGAGCAAGCTCCACCAAAAGCCCCTCAGATCCCACCCAAGCTCCCTCAGGCCACCCCAAATCATCCTTAGATCCCACCAAAGTCCACTCAAACCACCTCTGCACGCACCAAGGCCCCCTAAACCTCAAGCTCCAAAAGCCCCTCAGACCACCCCAAAGCCCCCTGAGATGCCACCAAATCCCCATCAAACCACCCAAACTCCCTCAGATCCCACCAAAGCCCCCTCAGATCCAACCAAAACCCTCTCAAACCACCCCAAACTCTCTCAGATCCCACCAAAGCCCCATCAAACCACCTCAAAGCCCCCTCAGATCTCACCAAAGCCCCATCAAACCACCCCAAAACTCCCTCAGATCCCACCAAAGCCCCCTCAGATCCCACCAAAATCCCCTCAAACCACCCCAAAGCTCTCTCAGATCCCACCAAAGCCCCCTGAGATCCCACCAAAACCCCATCAAACCATCTCAAAGCTCTCTCAGATCCCACCAAAGCCCCCTCAGGCCACCTTCCCACCGCACCAAGCCCCCCAGACCTCCTCAGAGGTCCCCACCTTGGTGTCCCCGGGGGAGATGTGCTTGTAGGGGCCGCTGTCCTCGTCGTCGGGGTGGGTGCTGTGGGTGCGGATGCAGTTGATGTGGCCAGGGATGATCAGGGAGAAGATCTGCTTCCCTGTCCAGAGCGGCCGCGGCTTCAGGATGGCTGGCTGGGGCACCTTGCCGTCCCACGTGGACAGGAACATCAGCAGGTTCATCACCTCGCCCTGAGGGACACCCCAAAACTGTCACCAATCGAAGAAAAAACCACAGAGAACCCAAAATACCTCGAAGATGTCCCAAAGCTCCCCAAAATCCCTGTCCCACACGGACAGGAACATCAGCAGGTTCACCACCACACCCTGAGGGACACCCCAAAAATATCATTAATCATGAAAACCCCATAGAGATCCCAAAACATCCTGAAAGTGTCCTAGAAGTCCCAAAAATCCTCCCAAAACAAGACCATCTCAGGGAAGATGTCCCTCTTGGTGACCCTGTGCACGGCCATCAGCGTGTCCCACCTCAAACACCTGCTCTAAAACCCCTCAAATCACCCCAAACTACCTCAAACCAACCCTAAACCACCTCAAACCAACCCCAAAACTCCCAAAACAACCCCAAAACCCCCAAGATGACCCCAAACGGACCCTCTCGAGGAAGACGTCCCTCTTGGTGAACTTGCGCACGGCCGTCAGCGTGTCCAACACAACACCACCAGAAACCACCCCAAAACCATCAGAGATGACCCCAGAACTACCCAAAACGGACCCTCTCAAGGAAGATGTCCCTCTTGGTGAACTTGCACACGGCCGTCAGCGTGTCCCACCTGAAACACCTGCCCTAAAACCCCTCAAATCACCCCAAACTACCTCAAACCAACCCTAAACCACCTCAAACCAACCCCAAAACTCCCAAAACAACCCCAAAACCCCCAAGATGACCCCAGAACGACCCCAAACGGACCCTCTCGAGGAAGACGTCCCTCTTGGTGAACATGCTCACGGCCATTAGCACGTCCCACCTCAAACACCTGCCCTGAAACCCCTCAAATCACCTCAAAACCACCACAAATCACCCTAAACACCCCCAAAACCCCCAAGATGACCCCAGAACGACCCCAAACGGACCCTCTCGAGGAAGACGTCCCTCTTGGTGAACATGCTCACGGCCATTAGCACGTCCCACCTCAAACACCTGCCCTGAAACCCCTCAAATCACCTCAAAACCACCACAAATCACCCTAAACACCCCCAAAACCCCCAAGATGACCCCAGAACGACCCCAAACGGACCCTCTCGAGGAAGACGTCCCTCTTGGTGAACTTGCGCACGGCCGTCAGCGTGTCCAACACAACACCACCAGAAACCACCCCAAAACCATCAGAGATGACCTCAAATCAAGCTAAACGCCCCCAAAACCCCCAAGATGACCCCAAAACGACCCCAAACGGACCCTCTCGAGGAAGACGTCCCTCTTGGTGAACTTGCGCACGGCCGTCAGCGTGTCCTGCACGATGCCCATGACGGGCCGGTTGCTCTGGGGGGTGACGATCATCCTGGGCACCATGGCCAGCTCCTGGATCTCCGCCCGCGTCTCCAGCGACTGCGGCAGGTGCAGGTTCATCTCGTCGCCGTCAAAGTTGGCGTTGTAGGGCGTGGTGACACTGTGGGGACATCGGGGGACATCAGGAATATTGGGTAATCTGGGATATTGGGGACATTGTGGCGACACGGGGCAGGTTCATCTCGTCGCCGTCAAAGTTGGCGTTGTAGGGCGTGGTGACACTGTGGGGACATCGGGGGACATCAGGAATATTGGGTAATCTGGGATATTGGGGACATTGTGGCGACACGGGGCAGGTTCATCTCGTCGCCGTCAAAGTTGGCGTTGTAGGGCGTGGTGACACTGTGGGGACATCGGGGGACATCAGGAATATTGGGTAATCTGGGATATTGGGGACATTGTGGCGACACGGGGCAGGTTCATCTCGTCGCCGTCAAAGTTGGCGTTGTAGGGCGTGGTGACACTGTGGGGACATCGGGGGACATCAGGAATATTGGGTAATCTGGGATATTGGGGACATTGTGGGGACACTGGGACGTTGGGGACATTGGGATCTCAGGGACATCGGGGACATTGTGGGGACACGAGGCAGGTTCATCTCGTCGCCGTCAAAGTCGGCGTTGTAGGGCGTGGTGACACTGCGGGGACATCGGGGACGTTGTGGGGACACTGAGACATCTGGGACATTGAGGACATTGTGGGGACATTGTGGGGACACGGGGCAGGTTCATCTCGTCACCGTCAAAGTCGGCGTTGTAGGGCGTGGTGACACTGCGGGGACATCGGGGACGTTGTGGGGACACTGAGACATCTGGGACATTGAGGACATTGTGGGGACATTGTGGGGACACGGGGCAGGTTCATCTCATCACCATCAAAGTCAGTGTTGTAGGACATGGTGACACCATGGGGACATTGGGGACGTTGCGGGGACACTGGGACATTGGGGACACTGGGATCTCAGGGACATTGGGGACATTGTGGGGACACTGGGACGTTGGGGACACTGGGATCTCAGGGACATTGTGGGGACATTGTGGGGACACGGGGCAGGTTCATCTCGTCGCCGTCAAAGTCGGCGTTGTAGGGCGTGGTGACACTGAGGGGACATTGAGGGGACATCAGGGATCTCAGGGACATTGTGGGGACATGGGACACCAGGGACGTCAGGGACATTGGGGTCATGGCTGGGACACGGGGCAGGTTCATCTCATCACCATCAAAGTCAGTGTTGTAGGACATGGTGACACCATGGGGACATTGGGGACGTTGCGGGGACACTGGGACATTGGGGACACTGGGATCTCAGGGACATTGGGGACATTGTGGGGACATGGGGCAGGTTCATCTCATCGCTGTCAAAGTCAGCGTTGTAGGGCGTGGTGACACTGAGGGGACATTGAGGGGACATCAGGGACATGGGACACCAGGGACGTCAGGGACATTGGGGTCATGGCTGGGACACGGGGCAGGTTCATCTCGTCGCCGTCAAAGTCGGCGTTGTAGGGCGTGGTGACACTGTGGGGACATCGGGGGGACACTGGGGACACTGAGACATCTGGGACATTGGGGACATTGTGGGGACACGGGGCAGGTTCATCTCGTCGCCGTCAAAGTCGGCGTTGTAGGGCGTGGTGACACTGAGGGGACATTGAGGGGACATCAGGGATCTCAGGGACATTGTGGGGACATGGGACACCAGGGACGTCAGGGACATTGGGGTCATGGCTGGGACACGGGGCAGGTTCATCTTGTCGCCGTCAAAGTCGGCGTTGTAGGGCGTGGTGACACTGCGGGGACATCGGGGACGTTGTGGGGACACTGGGACACTGAGAGATCTGGGACATTGTGGGGACACGGGGCAGGTTCATCTCGTCGCCGTCAAAGTCGGCGTTGTAGGGCGTGGTGACACTGTGGGGACATCGGGGGGACACTGGGGACACTGAGACATCTGGGACATTGTGGGGACATTGTGGGGACACGGGGCAGGTTCATCTCATCACCAACAAAGTCAACGTTGTATGGCTTGGTGACACTCTGGGGACATCAAGAGGACATCTGGGACATCGGGGACACACCAGAGATGGGCTCATCTCATCACAGAAGATGGACCAGGGCAGGATTTGGGGCGACTTTGGGGTTAATTTTGGGGTTTTTGTGGTGTTGTACCTCAGGTTCAGACGGAAGGTGGACCAGAGCAGGATTTGGGGTTAATTTTGTGGTTTTTTTGGGTTTTTTGGGGTGTTTTACCTGAGGTTCAGACAGAAGGTGGACCAGGGCAGGATTTGGGGTGATTTTGGGGTCAATTTTGGGGTTTTTTTGGGATTTTTGGGGTGCTTTACCTGAGGTTCAGATGGAAGGTGGACCAGAGCAGGATTTGGGGTTAATTTTGGGGTGAATTTGGGGGTTTTGGGGGGTGTTACCTGAGGTTCAGACAGAAGGGGGACCAGGGCAGGATTTGGGGGGATTTTGGGGGGAATTTGGGGGTTTTGGGGGGTGTTACCTGAGGTTCAGACAGAAGGGGGACCAGGGCAGGATTTGGGGGGATTTTGGGGGGAATTTGGGGGTTTTGGGGGGTGTTACCTGAGGTTCAGACAGAAGGGGGACCAGGGCAGGATTTGGGGGGATTTTGGGGTGAATTTGGGGGTTTTGGGGGGTTTTACCTGAGGTTCAGACAGAAGGTGAACCAGGGCAGGATTTGGGGTTAATTTTGGGGTGAATTTTGGGGTTTTTGTGGTGTTGTACCTCAGGTTCAGATGGAAGGTGGACCAGGACAGGATTTGGGGTTACTTTTGGGGTGAATTTTGGTTTTTTTGGTGTGTTTTACCTGAGGTTCAGACGGAAGGTAGATCAGGGCAGGATTTGGGGTTAAGTTTGGGGTTAATTTTGGGGTTTTTTGGGGGTTTTTGTGGTGTTGTACCTCAGGTTCAGATGGAAGGTGGACCAGGACAGGATTTGGGGTTACTTTTGGGGTCAATTTTGGTTTTTTTGGGGTGTTTTACCTCAGGTTCAGACAGAAGGTGGACCAGGGCAGGATCTGGGGGTACTTTTGGGGTCAGTTTTGGGATTTTTGGGGTGCTTTACCTGAGGTTCAGACGGAAGGTGGACCAGGGCAGGATCTGGGGTTACTTTTGGGGTCAGTTTTGGGATTTTTGGGGTGCTTTACCTGAGGTTCAGACGGAAGGTGGACCAGGGCAGGATCCTGACCCTGTGACCCATCATGGACATCTTGTGCAGGGTGGGCTGCCGGTTGAAGATGACGATGTCCCCGTCGCACATGTGACGCTCCACCTGTCCCCAAAGCCCCCCAAAAGTCAGGGGGACACCCCAAAAATGGGGGACACCCCAAAAACGGCACCTTTCCCCCAAAAATGGTGGGGTCAGAGTGAGGAGAATGAGGGGTTTGGGGTTAAATTCACTCCCTGGTGGTGGTGAAGGCCAAAATTGAGGAATGAACCTCAAATTTCAGAGATCTGAACCCAAAATGATGGATTGAACCCCAAATCTAGAATTGGGAACCCCAAAATTATGGATTGAACCCCAAATCTAGAATTGGGAACCCCAAAATCAGGCATTGAGCCCCAAACCCAGAGCTCTGAACCCCAAAATCAGGGATTCACCTGCAACCCCACAGTCTGAACCCCACCTGGTGGTGGTGAAGGCCAAAATTGAGGAATGAACCTCAAATTTCAGAGATTTGAACCCAAAATGATGGATTGAACCACAAATCTAGAATTGGGAACCCCAAAATTATGGATTGAACCCCAAATCTAGAATTGGGAACCCCAAAATCAGGGAGTGAGACCCAAATCCTGAGCTCTGAATCCCAAAATCAGGATTTGAACCCCAAACCCAGAACTCTGAACCCCAAAATCAGGGGCTGACCCCAAACCCAGAGCTCTGAACCCCAAAATCAGGGATTCACCTGCAACCCCACAGCTTTGAACCCCAAACCCAGAGCTCTGAACCCCAAAATCAAAATTTGAACCCCAAAATCAGAGACTGACCCCAAACCCAGAGCTCTGAACCCCAAAATCAGGGATTCACCTCCAGCCCCACAACTTTGAACCCCAAAATCAGGGGCTGATTCCAAACCCAGAGCTCTGAACCCCAAAATCAGGGACTGACCCCAAATCCAGGGCTCTGAACCCCAAAATGAGGGATTCACCTCCAACCCTACAACTTTGAACCCCAAACCCAGAGCTCTGAACCCCAAACCCCGAGCTCTGAACCCCAAAATCAGGGACTGACCCCAAACCCAGAGCTCTGAACCCCAAAATCAGCATGTGAACCCCAAAATCAGGGGCTGACCCCAAACCCAGAACTCTGAACCCCAAAATCAGGGATTCACCTCCAGCCCCACAACTTTGAACCCCAAAATCAGGGGCTGATTCCAAACCCAGAGCTCTGAACCCCAAAATCAGGATTTGAATCCCAAAATCAGGATTTGAACCCCAAACCCAGAGCTCTGAACCCCAAACCCCGAGCTCTGAACCCCAAAATCAGGGACTGACCCCAAACCCAGAGCTCTGAACCCCAAAATCAGGATTTGAACGCCAAACCCAGAGCTCTGAACCCCAAACCAACAACCACCCCCCGCAGCCCTGGGTTCCACTCCCCGTTTCCGGTGTCCCCCGGATTTCTGGGGTCCGGCTGTGGGTTTTGGGGTCCCTGCCTGGCTCTGGGGTTTCGGGGTGCTGACCTTGTAGCCGATCTGCAGGTGGAGGTCGCTGGGCTTGGGGTGGAAGCGGAGGTCGATCCTGTCCCCGTTGTCCCTGATGATGTACTTGGCCCCCGGGTACTGACTGTTCCCCCGGCGCACCAGCTCCTGCAGCCTGAGGGGCTTTGGGGTCAGTTTTGGGGTTTTTGGGGCTCTGGGAGTCACCTCACAGCTCTCAGAGTCAGCTGAGGAGGGTCAGTGGGGTTTAAAGGGGGTTTGGGGTGGTTTTGGGTTATTGGGATCTGCTCAAAATTACCAAAGGTCGGCGATGGAGCAGGGGACACCAACATCAAACCCCCCAAACTTCCCCTAAATCACCCCAGACCTCCATAAATCCACCCCAAACCTCCATAAATCCACCCCAAATCCCCTCCAAACCCCATAAACCCATCCCAAATCCCCTAAATCCCCTACAAAGTCCCCCTGTCAATGTTGAAGGGGGTGACAGTCTCACCAAAGGTCACGTTGGCAGCGATGGCGCAGGTGACAACACCACCAAACCCCCCAAACTCCCCCTAAATCCCCCCAAACCTCCACAAACCCATCCCAAAACTCCGTAAATCCACCCCGCGCGGCACGCCCACCTGGTCGATGGCCAGGTTGGGGTCGGGCGTGATGACGGTGCGGGCGGAGAAATCCACGCGTTTGCCCATGAGGTTGCCCCGAACCCGACCCTCCTTCCCCTTCAGCCGCTGCTTCAGGGACTTGAGGGGGCGCCCCGACTTCTGCATGGCCTGGGGGAGGAGAAATTGGGGGCTCAGGGGAGGTCAGAACCCCAAAATCACCCCAAAAATCCAAAATCCATCGGGGGACACACATTGAATCCTGCCAGGATGTCCCCAGCTCCTGCTGGGATTTTGGGGGGCTCAGAGAGGGGTTTGGGGGAGCAAAACATATTTAAGGGATCCCCCAAATTCTGCATGCAGTGGGAGAGGAGAAACTGGGGGGTCAGAACCCCCAAAACACCCCAAAAAATCCAAAATCCATTGGGGGACACAAATTGATTCCTCCCAGGAATGTCCCCAGCTCCTGTTGGGACTTTGGGCTCTGTCCCTGCTTGTCCCATGTGGGACACCCCCAAACCCTCCTGTGACCCCTCAAAACCCTTCCAGGACACCCCAAAACCCCTCTGTGACCCCTCAAAACCCTTCCAGGACACCCCAAAACCCCTCTGTGACCCCCCAGACTGTCCTGGACCCTGGGCAGCTCCTTCTCCACCATGGTGGCCACGTGGAACTGCAGCCGCTCAACATCCACGACAGTGACTTGAGGCCACCACCTGAACGTTCCTGACCCTGTGTCACCCCAGAACCCCTCTGTGACCCCCAAAACCCTTCTGTGTCACCCCAAAAGCCCTCAGTGACCCCCAAACCCCCGTGTGACCCGTGCTGTACCCGGGGCAGGCCGGGCAGCTCATTGTCCACCATGGTGGCCACGTGGAACTGCAGCCGCTCAACATCCATGGCCATGACTTAGGGCCACCACCTGAACGTTCCTGACCTTGTGACACCCCAAAACCTCTCAGTGACCCCCAAAACCTCTCTGTGACTCCCCCCAGCCTCTCCTGGACCCCAGGCAGCTCGTTGTCCACCATGGTGGCCACGTGGAACTGCAGCCGCTCAACATCCATGGCCATGACTTAGGGCCACCACCTGAACGTTCCTGACCTTGTGACACCCCAAAACCCTTCTGTGTCACCCCAAAAGCCCTCAGTGACCCCTGCTGTACCCGGGGCAGGCCGGGCAGCTCGTTGTCCACCATGGTGGCCACGTGGAACTGCAGCAGCTTGACGTCCTCAGCGATGACGTGCGCGGCCGCCCCGTTCTGCTCGTTGCGCCGCAGTTGGTTGTTGATCTTGACGATGTCGGCCAGTTTGTGGGTCAGGTCATCCTGGGGACACCCCAAAATTAGTGGGGTGACCCCAACATTTGTTAATGGGGGGCTGGTGGTGATAGAGGGAGAGCAAAAAGCTCAAAATGACGTGGGAAAGGTGTAGGGTGGATTTGGGGTGGGAGAAAAATGGGGATACCCCAAAGAATGGGGAACCCAAGAAGTGGGGAGACCCCAAAAGGCATCAGGGACCCCAATACCCACCCAGAGACCCCCCAAGAGCTGCCCCAAACCCCACCTGGTTGTGGGCAGAGCCCTGCATGACCACAACTGGAAACACAAACAGCAAGGGCACTTTACCCCAAGAATGCCAACACCAATCCTCGGACCCCAAAACCATCCAAAACCACCCCAATAACTTCCAAAACCCCACAAAATGACCCCAAGCTATCCCAAAACAAACCCAAAACCCCACCTGGTTGCGGACAGAGCCCTGCATGACCATGGCTGGGCGCACGGACAGCGGCGGCACGGGCAGCACGGTGCCCCAAACACCCCAAAACCCCTCCAATCACCCTAAAACACAACCCAAACCACCCCAAAACCCCAGAGAATCACCCCAAAACCCCACAGAATCACCCCAAAGCCCACCTGGTTGCGGGCAGAGCCCTGCATGACGACGGCCGGGCGCACGGACAGCGGCGGCACGGGCAGCACGGTGCACACCATCCACTCGGGCCGGGCGAATTTGGGGTCCATGCCCAGCACGAAGCACTCCTCGTCCGAGATGCGCTTGAAGATCTCGTGCACGCGCTCGGGGCTCAGCAGGATCTTCTTCTCCTGGGAATCCTCGTTGACGTGCTTCCACTCGGCGTAGAGCTCCAGCCCCGAGCGGCGGATGCGCGGCTGGTAGCGCCCGCAGCCGCCGTGGCCCTGGAACGGGGGAAAAAGGGGGGAAAATGGGGTGAAAAACGGGGTTATTGGGGGGAAAAATGGGGTTATTTGGGTTAAAAACGGGGTTATTGGGGGGAAAAATGGGGTTACTGGGGGGAAAAATGGGAAGTATTGGGACTAGCAACAGGGGCTGGTAGTGCCCGCAGCCGCCGTGGCCCTGGAACGGGGGAAAATGGGGGGAAAATGGGGTTATTGGGGGGGAAAATGGGGTTATGGGGGGGAAATGGGGTTAGAGTGAGAGAAAATGGGGGAAATGGGAAAAAAGGGAAAAAAAGGGGGAATGGGGTTAGAGAGGAGGAAATGGGAAAAAGAGGGGGAAAAGGGGGGGAAATGGGGGAAAAGGGTGGAAAATGGGGGAAAAGGAAAAAAACAGGGGAAAATTACAATGCTGCTAAAACTGGGTTGGTTCAAAGGAAGAGCATGGGAAAGCCCTGCAGTGATCTGCACTGTTTATGCAGTGAGTTTTTATATATGTCATTCCTGGAAAACGTGAAAATGTGAAACATTTTCAGAGTATAAATAATTTTTCCCCCAAAAGGATTTTGAAATGCCATGTTTTAGATTAACAATGAGGTAAATTAGTTTGTTCAAATGACTGAGTTTATTTTCTTAGGGATGGGATGGAATGTTATAAGTAATTTAATTCAAGTAAGGACAAGAAACATAGTCATAGGTCTCCACAGCAGTCAAATTAATTTCCTCTGCCTTTTGTTCCAGTTTATACAAACATTCAAATCCACCATCAAAGTAGCAAGTTCATTTCTAAAACAGCCTATTGGCTCAGCAGCTAATTGTAAGTGGTAGCTAAGTTCAGTGCAAACCTGTAAGAGTACATTTCCCTGAGTATTTACCTGCAGGTTTGAAAAAAGACCCTGGCCTGCACAGTTTATAAAAACTCACTGTCCTCCACTGTGAATTTTAATATTGAAAATTGGATTTTAAAAACATCTGGATGTCCCTTATTTTCTGAAGTGTAAAAGGAAAATATTTGTTTCTGCAATAAGATTATCAGAATTAAATACTGTGATGTCAGACTAAGTAGCATTACTTTAGCTCCTGTATGGTTGAGTGATTTTACTATAATAGTTTCTCATAATAATGCTTTTTATCTGTAATACATAGGGGATAGAGAGACTGACACTTCTTGGTGTTCCCCAAATTTTGACACCTCCCCTTGGGGTACCCCAAATTTTACCACCTCTTCTTGGTGTCCCCACATTTGTCACCTCTTCTTGGTGTCCCCAAATTTTGTTACCTCTTCTTGGTGTCCCCCCGCTCTGTCACCTCCCTTTGACCCTGAGCACCCCCAAAATGGTCCCAAACCCCCCAAACCCCACCACCACCCCCCATCCCTGACGTGTCCCCAAGGTGCCACCACGGAGCCATTTCCAGCCCAAACCCGACCCCTCCCCCCCAAACTTTTGGGGTGCCTCAGGGATTTTTGGGGTCTCACCGAGTCCACGAGCAGCTTGGAGCAGAAGAAGCAGACGCAGCGCAGGATTTTCATGGTTTTGCCCAAAAATCCCACGTGGAACACGGGCTTGGCCAGCTCGATGTGGCCAAAGTGGCCCGGACACTCCGTCATGTTCCCTGGGGACACCCCAAAATCGGATTGGGGACACCCCAAAAT